GTCAGTGTTACAATCTGTTTAGTTATAGAGAGTAAAAATTTGGCTAAACTAATCATAGGATAGTGTACTTTAACTGTTTTCTTTTTTGAAAAGCGAGGAACGTCTTGTCTTAAATAAAATAATTATGAAGTTGGGTTTTCTTTAGGGTCAGGTCCACAGTCTGGACCAAGGCTGGGTGGAGCTTTATGTCTGCAGGCCCAGGTCCGGCGGCGCTTGATTTTCTGGGCCAGGCGTTAAAAGTCTACTTTTCGTCCCTCCCCTTGATTAAATGTAAACAGAAAAGCATGCTAGATACTGAAGATGATGTCAGAATGAGGTTGTCCTCTATTAAGTCAGAAAATTCAAAACTATATTCAGAGTGAAGCACACCATCTCATTAGCTTCTGATGAATGAAAATATAATTTCTAATATGATGGCTATACTGAGCAGCTAATATTGAATACAGTATTTAATGACCCAGTAAAGTTGTTTTTTTCTCATCCCAGAGCATTTTGTATCATTACAATAAACATTCTGTTCACTGAAGTCCTTTTCCTCATGCAGTTCAGATTATTTATGCAATGCATTTATAAATGGCCTCACATGTTTCTTTGAACAACATTTATCATTTTTTGGTTGCAGAGTACCAACCTGGAATAATATGCAGCCTCAGGTTTTGTACTACACATCAGTAATCTGGTACTAATCCCAGATTGGGGAAAGGAGGGGCTACCAGAAGAACACTTAAAGCTGATTGGTCAAAGCAACACCTAGTGTAAAGCCCTCCTAATGTGTTTGCTTTGGTTTTAGGCTAAACTTTCCTTTGATACAAACCATAATTATGCTTGGAAAGTATTAAACCAACAAATGGACACAGACTCATCTGAATGAACATCATGAAAAATAACTCAGTTTCTCAAAGTTTTTCTCCAATAATGAAGCTTTTAATATTAACAATTCATCCTGAATACTGACTTATTTGGCAAATTGCTAATATTACTTTCTATATTTACAAGTATTTGTACTCCAAGTCAGTTTCTATTATTTTCATTTGGGTTTACAAATTTATTTTCAATGTTGAAAAATAAGTGAATAGGGGCATGCAGGTGACGCAGTGGTTAGTGCGCATTACAGATGTATGGAGGCCTTAGTCCTAGACGCGACCAACCCGGGTTAAAATCTGACCTGTTGCCCTTTGCTGCATGTCTCTCATACCCCCTTTCCTGTCAGCCTACTGTCAGAAAAACGAGCCACTAGTGCTGTAAAAAACTCAAAAAAAAAGTTAATAAGCAGCATTTACGCCACATAAGAAACAGTTGTCTGTCGCTGCACGATCTGTTCTGCGCATTCACCATCAGCTAATTTGCTCATGTGCATCAAGATATACATCCGGGCCACCCTCGATTTGATTTTGTTAAAAATACCTAAATTACGTTTTTCCCTCCCCAAAAATAGTAAGTGTACTAAAATATAATATTTTAAAGGTTACTAATGTATTTCCTGAGAAAATAAATGCCTTAAAATCCTTTCTGATTTATCACTTGTCTGCCCGATCTGCACCGAAAGTGTAATCCTACGCCACTTCTGGTGGCTAACTTTTTCGGCTTTGTATTACATAAATCTAGTCTTTTTGAGTTTCATGTTTTCCTTTTGTTTTAACTTTATGGTATACAGTGCGGGATCTAAAATGCAGATAAACATGGTTTAATCATATTTTGCCGGACGGCGCTGAGCATGTCTGATGATCACGTCAGAGAAGCAGTTTTATGAAGAAAATGCAAAAAGCATCAAAATTGCTTTAAAAAGGTCATAAAACATTTTTTTTTAAGTTTTGTATTAGCATTCTTTAGCGAGTTAAGGATATAAATAACACATTTTAGTACCATAATTACATTATTTATGGACACCCGGATGTATATCAGTTCGCGTATGCGCTGGACGGATAGTGCTTCCTGGATTGTATCAACAGAGGCATATATATGACTGTATTACTTGGTCTGATATTATAGAGATAATTGAAGATCCTGCAGATGCTTAAGGTGGTACTCGGAGCAAAATGTTTGACACCATCTGCTCTATTAGAAAATAGCCTTATTTATTAGAGGAATATAATTGATTTTATAAGGAAGCTTCTAAAAGATGATATCATCTCTTTGTTCATTAATGTTGTCCCATGCAGTTTTCTACTAATTTCTTCCATTCATAATAAAATAAATTCAGACTCATTGACCTTAAAAATTATGTTTGATCGTTGTTTTTAGAATTCTGTACATAAAACAAGCCATCAAAGTAAAATAAGTTTTCAGAGAAACCTTTAAAGAAACCTGATGTGTTTCCTCAGTTTCTTTCATTTTTTAAGTTTTTTTTTAATCTCTTACAACATCCTATTTAGCATTTTCAATAAGTGATGAGGAATTTCATCATCAAAGAGCATCTTTCAAGGAGGACATCGCGCAGCTTGACAGAAAAATGTTTTCTCTGTTTCCTTTCTCTAATGATGATTACAGAGTACAAAGGGGCAGAAGAAGGATGCCGGAGAAATGAGAGGAAATGAACAGAGGCAGGGCAGAGGCTGCCCAAAGATTAAAGCTGTGTGTTTCTGAAGATGGAGAGTTTAGACATCAGCAGTCCAGCAGTCAGTGTTAACCCTGCAAAGCACCATCACTGACATGAAGCTGTGGTTACAAGAGGCTCTGTCAAAGACTGAGTGATGCAGAAAACTCATTTCCATGTTGAGTGCTTGTCATTAGAACGAAGAAAGCATCGCTCCTTTCAGCGGCGTAATCAACACATCCACACTAACAAGAAGCGCAAAGTAATGAGTTGATTAATCAATTCAGCCAATCATCGGCAAATCACACCAGAAGTTGTGCTTCAAGCTTATAATGGGAAAATACTCCAGAGTTATTTAAAAGATCTCTGTCTACAAGAATGTTTTTCAAAGTTGGAAATATATGAACAAGCAGCAGGAATGTCCTGATTAAAACCGGGGAAGGTCAGCAGCAGTAAGGTCTGCCAAAAAAAAAAAAAACTGCAAAAGTTTAGACAAAACTGTTCAGCAGCAAAGTTAATCTTCCTGCTGTCAGGATGTTTTACCCACAGGTTTTATTAATAAGGTTTAACCTCTTGTAGAGTCTGATTCAAATCATAAAAACACCCCTTTATGTCAGGTGTTTTCCCCTGTGACTTAAAAACAGTAATTATCAAACCTTTGTTGAAAAGGAGAAACATGGACAAATGAATCCTGTAGAACTACTGGCCTATCACAAACCTCCCTTTCAACAGTAATATTTATCATCATCATCATCACCTTTATTTGCATGGTACTTTAAAACAGCTACAGATCAAAAAGTGCTGAACACAATAACAAAACAACATTAAAAGAATGAATACAAATAAACTTGCCTTGCCTGCCTTGCCTAAAGCAAAGTGATATTTGAGGACATACCGTAGCATTTGGCCCTATCCAAATGAGCAAACTATACCATTTCGGATATGATGTGTGCCTGCAGTGTGCAGCTGTAAACAGGAGCACTATAAAAACAGACCAATGCAGCCCCTGTTGCCCCTTATACGGAGCTTAATTGTACCCCTTTCCCACTGAACAATAAAACAGTTTAAACCAAAAGACAGTCGGCTTATAGTGGCAGTGGGAACACCACACTGACCTGCGTCAAATAACTTGGTAGAGCTCGGCTACGGTCGCCATAGAGTGGGAACAGTAGACTGCATATTGACCTGCTCATTTATGTGATACCATTGAGCACAATGAAGATGCAGCTTGCCAGGAGGGAGTTAGACCCAAATGCTGAAAGTTAGCGAGTCGTCCTGGAGTTGAAAAACTCACTTTAACCCACTAATATCAGTGGGAAAGCGGCTTTAGTCTCAAAAAGGTTCAGAAAGTGTATAGTAAGGTTTTTAAGTGTACAACAGAATTCATACATTTGTAGCACAAAATTGTACTTGTTTACGTTACCTACTTAGGACCGTTTTTGGTCTATTTACTAACCTTCTGAGAACCAACAGGGCTCATGGGGAACAAAGACTGGACCTAATGTGGGGGGGGGCATTCTCAATGCTATCTTAGAATCCCTTTCAGAATTCAGATTAGATTTTTTTTTGCAACGATCTGGGCTGTTTTCTCTTTCTTGTGTCTAAGATGAACTCACACAGTCATGCAACAATGTTAAAAGTAAAAACATAATGAAAGATGTGCAAAAAAAGAAGAAAAAAAAAAACAATCTACTGGACTTTGTTTCCAAGTTTGAAGACAATTCGCTTCCCATCCAGGAAGCTTTTTTAATTTAAAATGTTAGAATTAGCGTTGAGTTTAAGCTTTATAGAGCGAACCAAAACAAAGCCTTGTTCTCAACTATAATTCTGACATTTTGAATTGAAAAAGCTTCCTGAATGAGAAGCGAAATGTCTTCAAAGTGGATTGTTTTTTTTTTGTTGTTATTTTTTTTTGGAATGACTATGCCCTGGAAGCCTGAGAATCTTCACCAGCATTATGATGGATAGGATACAACTGAGCATTAGAGTAGAAGATCAGAGGCCCTTCCAACATTCTTCCACAAAGGTTTTTGAAACATAGATAAAAGTGATAAGATCTGTTTTCCCTCCTTCTGAAAGTTTGAAATATGGGAGTTGTTCAAGGCCACTTAGAACACATTTTGGTAATCACTTAAGTGATTGCTAAATTGTTTTGTTTTGTTTACGCTGATATCATTCTCCAGAGCACAGCAGAAGCCAGTCCAATCGTAAGTGTTAATTTAAAGAAAGGTTGATTTTTCAAATGTTTTGAGTAGCGTTTAATTAAATAATGGCAATGCTGAAATAGAACAATTAGGATCTGAATAGGGACTGATTTCACTAAATAATCATTGACTGAATCCTAATGAAGACAACAAGAGAGGAATTCATAATTGATCCTCAGAGACTTGTAGCTGATGAAAGCTTCGCACTTTGCAGCTGCAGTTCTTATATCAGGGAAAACAAATTTAAAAAATTTAAAAGTCACCTCATTGAAGGAAATTTTGTTGCTTTTCCTTTTTTTGGGTAAACTCTTCCACGTTTTCCCGAAGAAGTGCTGCAGCTTTCTGTCGAAGAGAGTCACTCTCAGCTGGTAGGTCACATCTTCCTCAGCTGTCAGGTCCTGCAGATCGACAAAAGAGGTTGGATAACCATCTAGAGCACATTAGGTGAGTTATAAATAAATCACGTGAATATGCAAAAAGTATGCAGCAGATACTGGGTCTAAATTGGCTCTAATAGCAGAAGACTAGGGCTGGGTATTTTCGCCAAAGTCCTGAATCGATTCGATTTGATTCATTCAGTTCTAAATCGATTAATTTTGATTCAACCTGTTTTTACAATAATGAAAGTGTTCCAACTGTGTTTCAAAATACTCATGTATTTGACCTTTTCCTGTCACATCAAATGCAAAGTGCAAACTTGTAAACAGACAGTTTAAAGTTGAGATGTGAACAAAACTGTCTCAAAATTGCAAACTTGTTTGTGAAAAGTAAAAACACCTCACATGAGCAAGCAGATGTGACACAGCAGACATGCATGAGCTGCATTATCTTCACTACACAAAGCATATTTGCAGCATTGTCTGTAACGACTACAGGGTGTTTGCTGCTCAGCCCCCATTTGTTAATGTCTTCAGTCAACCTATTGGCTATATTTGCAGCTGTCTGGCTTGAAGTCATCTTGAATGCATCTTTCCTGCTCATTTGAATGTGAACGTCACGCACATCACTATAAAACTAATCGATCTCATTCCCTAGACATCGATTTTGCAAAAACGTAAAGGAATAGCTTCAAAAATCGATTATATCGATTTTTTCCCCCCCAGCCCTACAGAAGACTGATATTTTTCTTTACTTTTTTTTCCCTAGTCAACATCTTCTGGATCTGCATTAATCCACAGCATGCATACAGTACCATGCACAAGTATTTATACCTCTTCTCATTTTTGGCCAAAAGTTATATTTTTACCACAAACTTTGACGTAGTTTATTGTAATTTTACATCATTCGCCGACACAGATTATTGCATTTGTTTTATTCAACCTACAGGGATACCTTTTTTTTCTGTAGGAAAACCTTCAATAAACTTTGAAGGTTTATAGAAGAACATTAGTAGAAAAACATGATGAAGACTAAGAAATACATTTCAGGGATAAAAATCTGGAGTAATTTTAAGCATAATTAGGTTATTTATGAATATTCTTATATTTAAGCACCTTTATTATTATTTATTATTGCTTTTTGTCTTATTTGCTTTTCAACAGGTGTCCTTTACAGTCTTTATTTGTGCATTTCTCCCACCTTGTATCTATTGCATGCAGCACTGCACAAATAAAATACATCTGCTGTGCTGGATGTACCCACCCTGGTCTCAGTGGGACAAACCCTTTAGGTGGTGTGTTTATTCTCTGGATTAAAAATATGTAACCTATGCTCTATTTGGTATAGGCTTCACTCTTTAAGCTTATCATTAGTGGGTAAAAGAATGAGCAGAATTTAATCTACTGTGCCCAAACATAGCTGCTAAGAGAAATAATCTGTGGCTGAGATGTTTATTGGTAGCTACTTCAGGGAATAATGATGATAAAAGTTTTGAACAACAAGAAAAACGCAATTTAGAGGTCCTGGATGAATTATGTTACTTAATTTGGCAAAACAAAGCTTAAATTGAGCATATTAGAGCTTTTTCTAAAACAGGCTGTCGGAAGGTCACCTGCTGGAGGTGAGCTGCAGTGAGGCTGTTGAAGAGGAGCTGGAAGCCGCAAGCAGCGATGAGATGGTTCTCCTCAGCCTGGCGGACTGTTTGGCTGGACGGGGGAACCAACCGGTTTTTCTCAAACGCTTCTTCCCAGCCGTCTGCCACGCTGTTCCTCTCCTCTGCTTTCACCATTTTATCTATCAGAAATTACTGGAGCCCAACGCCATACAATAAAACTTAGTGTTCCTAAAATTAACTATGGCTCGACTTTGAAAAGAAGATTTTTCCGTTTTCATTTAGATTTTCAAACATGCAGCCGCCATGTTGGAAACCGGGCTGTTGTATTATTTTTTAAAGGTGTAACGAAAAAAATATACGTTTAAAAAATATATATTTTATTATTAAAACAAATGTTCAACTTAAAATAAATAGGTTTACTAATAAAATACAGAATATTATACATTGACAGAGACAATTATCGTTAAATATATGTAGTTAGTAATAGTGTCGTGGATTAGTTTAAACCTCTGCGTTGGTATGCCCCAGCTTGCTGCGTCAGTTGCCATGGTAACGTTCACCTACCTGAGGACAAAATTACGAGCGCATGTAGAGTACGCAAAAATACAAGAAATCCATCCAAGAAATTGCTAAAGTAAAAAGTTCTTGGTGAAATGGCTCATCCAGTCCTGAATAACTGTTGGCTTGATTTAATGTTTAAAATTCTGTGATGTTCAAATTCAAGTATTTCAAGCAAACATAACACGATTTTAAAATTAGTCAATCGGGCAGAATAAATGCATTTCCAAGTAATTTATTTTTCTTTCTTTTTTTTAACAAACTTATAAAACCAGTAGGCTAGGATCTTGTACGTGGTGATGATATTAAAAAAGTAAAATAAATTAAATTGTGACCAAAATACCTATAAGTCCACAGTAATCTCCTGTTTTGTGTGAATAATAATGCAAAAATGCATACTACATAAATAAACATGCTCACATTGAGGTGTCGGAAACATGCACATACAAGTGCAATTTTATATTTACGCTCTATGCAGAACCACATCATGATTAATGTAGGAAAAACCAAGGAGTGGTGGATTTTGGCAGAAGCAGATCCACCCCACTGACACTGGTGAACATCCAGGGAACAGACATTGATATAGTGGATTCTTATAAGTACCTAGATTTTACCTGAATAACAAACTGGACTGGACTCACAACTCTGAGGCTCTGTATAAGGTCAAAGCAGACTCTTCCTGCTGAGGAGACTGAGGTCCTTTGGGGTGCGCTCCTAAAGACCTTTTTATGACTCTGTTGTGGCATCAGCCATCTTCTATGGAGCTGTCTGTTGGAGCAGTGGCTTATCTGTAGCTGAGAGAAAGAAGCTGAATACGATGAAGTATCAGGAAGGCCAGCTCTGTGATTGCATGCCCTCTGGACTCAGTGCAGGAGGTGGGAAACAAAAGGATCCTAACTAAATTAACATCTCTGATGAATAATGTTTCCCACCCCATGCATGAAGCTGTTGCTGAACTGGAAACCTCCTTCAGTGACAGCCTGCTGCACCCTAAATGCACCAGGAAACATCATCACAGATCCTTCCTCCCAGCAGCTGTAAGACTTTATAACCATCACTGTTCCAACGACCTCAATAAATTGTTACATTCATGCTGATTTGCTGCTTTTTTTTGCAGTTTTTGTCTTAGTCACTTAAATAACAAGCTGCTGTCATTTCATTTTTTTTTTGCACATCTCTAGTGTTACCGCTATTTTTCACATACCCACTACCGTAAACATGTCCACAGCTGTTAATTGATTTTTTATTCTCTAGATACAGAGTACCATAGTGTAAAACACCGTACAGTACAACACTCTTTTTGTTTTATTTTCCTATCTGTTATTTTAATACAGTTTTCTAAGGTGCACATTGTGTGACCACTTCTGCTGTAACCTTTGCTGCTGTAAACGCCACAATTTTCACATTGTGGGACAATAAAGGCATTTTCTATTCTATTTTATATTCTATTAGGTGGCCTTAACTCAGAAAAATTACAAATAGTTAATTACTTGAAAAAATAGAAATAATAAAGTGGGGTATACAAATATAATAGGACTTAGACTTTATTTGACATTTTGTACACACAAGAGTATACAAAAAGAAATTGCGTTCAGTACAGCTCTCAAGACATTTTCATTTTTATGAAGTGCAGCCTTGATAAAGGTAAGCAGCAGTGATAATGTAAACATAAGACTATATAGTTAAAGTTCCAACATTCAGGTTTTGTTTTTTTTATAACCCCATTTAATATAACATTCAGCAGTCTAATGGCAGTGGGGAAGAAACTGTTCTGGAATCTGCTTGACCTGCATCAGATGCTTCGAAGCCTCTTTCCAGAGGGCAGCAGGGAGAACAGCCCATGTTGTGGGTGTGAGGGGTCATTTATAATGTTACAGGCTCTGGAACACGCAGCTCTGGGATGAAATGTAGTGCCCTTTTGATCAGTGAGGTGGTGTTTACAGTCTACAGTCCAGTTGAGGTTGTCTGTGATGTGCATCCCCAGGCATTTGGTGCTGCTGATATATACAATAATATTATACATTTTAATATTAAAGTTTTAGGGGTATATTATATTATATTATATTATATTATATCATATAATATTATATTATATTATATTATATTATATTATATTATATTATATTATACTCCTAAAACTTTGGCACATTATGGTCTCTTACATGTCTTGGGACTGTTTTTCTCAGTTACTAATATACATGTAATATAATAGATAACCAGTAGGGGGCAGCAGAACATCATCACCAGCGGGTCGGTTAAGAATCAAGAGGAAGACAAACAAAGGAAGCGGTACTTATAAACTGAAATGTTCGGACTCTTCGGGAAAATAAAACCTGTTAAAATTCGAGGTTGCAGCGGGGACAGAAAATACGGAATAGCCGCGAAAGATGTAAAGGAGCTGATTAAAAAGGGCTGTAAGCTGTTGCAGGTGAGCCGTGTGTTTGTAGTTTTAAACAAAATTCGATCAGTTCCGGTTTTGGTTTGTTTTTTCCCCCGAGACATTGAATATGAGATAAAACCAATTAAAAGCGAAACACGGTTAAGAGTGACATAAAACTTTATTTTAGTCGTTTTAATATTCACTGGATAACAGAGACGAAATAATTATCAAACGAAAACTGTTAGTGGCTCAGTTTTATAGAGTTCTGCCATCATTATCATTTGATTTAGGTTCTAAAGCAGAGAAACATCTGGACTATTCAGAATACCTGATTACTTTATTATTTCTACTATATTATTATTTCTATTATATGAGAAAATGCATTAAATATTTGGTTAATTCGGCTTTTTAGACAACTATAGTAAATGCCTGTTTCCAATAAGTTGTTGCACCTGTTTGTCATAGATATAATGAATACAGATCCATCCATAGTAAAGTATAGATTTGTATTTGCAGATATTTTAAGTCTTTTTGGCATATAGCTGATCAGATTTATGTATTTGTGTAATTGAGGTTAAATGACATGTGCTGTGACCCTGTAATGTGTTCTCCACCATGCAGCTGCCACTTCCTGGTGCCCATGTCTGCTTATATGAAGATGGGACGATAGTGACAGAGGAGTTCTTCCCCACGCTGCCAGATAACTGCGAACTAGTTCTTTTGTCCAAGGATCAGACATGGAGTGGAGGTACATTCAAATAAAAACATGCTTGTCCTTGATATCAGCTGAAATGCCCTGGTTGGGTCATCGTCCATTGAACCCTTTTGTTTCTGCCTTGTAGTTCTTTGTGACATCGGTCAGTTACTGAGCTCTGATCGCCACGGCGACGCCGTCATCGAGGCAGCGAAGGGTCTTCTCTCTGATGAGAAGTCTTTCAAGAGGCGTAAAGTTCTTACCGACCTACTGCAGAACCTGGAGGACAGATCTGATCTGGAGAGCAGAGAGGAAGATGAAGATTGGTTTAATGGTACGGTCCAAATGATCTTGGAACTATTAACTGCTTGATTCTTTTCCTGTTACATCAAGTTAAATAAATCAGTCACATAGACTGTTGCCATAGTCTTATGCTCAAACTTTGACTGCACAGGTAAGCAGCAGCTCTAAGATTTCAAAGTTGCAACTTAAGAATCCTCCCTAATATTTCTTCATAGGGAGAAGTTTTGAACATTTTCAGCCTGTGCTTTAAGGAAACCCCTTTAAAAGTTAACATTTGCCAGCTTTAATGTGTGTTAGGGATCAACGTCTGGTTGGAACACATCATTTTTACACATTTTACACAATCAGACTCAGATTATCTTATTTATATGAGAGGAATAATTCAGGATGTCCGAGAATTTACACCAAGCAATCAGCAAGTCTCAAGCTTATGATGAACTGAAATTTGCTGCTGTCTGCAAGTGTTTTCTTGAGGAAAGTGTCATAGTAAAACATAATAGGTAAACAATAGTTGGAAAGCTGTCTTTAAAGGACATCTTACTGACTATTCAGTAGTTGCAACAAGGTCAATTTTTATTTTTGCGACTGTCGATTCTGGTTGTGAGGATATAGTAAATTAACTAACAAAGATGGAGTTTTAATGGCTCCAAATCCTTCAGCTTCACCATAGATAAGGTGGACTATTTAATCTGGTACCAATGTGGTTGTTCCTACAGAACATTGATCCCAAACATGCATCAGAACCATAATGGATGGATCCAGGTTGTATGAGGCTTGTAGAATCCTCCCTAATATTTCTTCATAAGGAGAGGCTTGTTGTATGCTTGAATTTCAAAAACTGGGTCATTTCCAGGTAAAGAACCAGAAAAAAAAAAAAAAAAGTCCAGGTATTCTGGCTGAATAATAAAAGGAGAATATGAGTCTGTCATATTTTACCAGTGGATAAAACAAAAATACAAATTCAGTTTTATTTATTTTAACAATGTTTTTTATTTTTCAATCATTACATACTACCAAAATGATCTTGATCAAACGTTTTGGCGCTCAATAATAGCAGACTAAGACCTATTCAGACCCATCTGCTTCATCTTTTGCCTGTTCTTAGAAAGACATGTTTGGCAAATTCATTGGGGTTTTGAAAATAGCAAGCTATTATTAAATATTTACCTTTATTTTTACCTTCTGGATGAAAGACTGACTCCATAAAGCGGTGGAACCCGAACAATCCTTTGATATTTGGTGATTTTTTTTTTTTTTTGGTTCTATTCCAGGTGTTGATTCTCGGTTTAAAACAAAGTCTGCCTACATGAAGTTCAACTGTGAAAGCAGAATACGAGGCTACATGAAAGAGGTAAACCTCAGAGGTCGGG